CAGATCAGGAAGGTGGGACCACAGGCCGCAGGGTCCAGCGGTCCCCGGCTCTGTCATAGGGGCCGTGCCGGGGGGGAGGGGGGTGGCGGCCAAGCTTACGGGGGTCGGAGCCTCTCAGGGCCCGGGCCTCAGGGACAGGCGCTCAGCCGAGACGAGATGAAAACTGAGGAGGTCCGTCTGCTTTAACCACATGCAGGAAGCCTCATAACGGGTAGTTCGTGGAAGAGAAAGCACTGAGTGTGGTGCGGTTCCCACACACACAGGTCTGCTCTTACTGGACGCTACGGAATCTGTCTAGATAGGTTCACACAAGACGGCATCGGAGTTAAAATAGTTCCCCCACCGAGTTAGCAGGTTTGTGTTGCTGTGGTGTTTGCAGATGCTTCGAGGCCCACGCGGGTGAGTCAAGTGTTCGCGGCACGGCCTCTCCGCGAGCAGTTTGCTGAGAAGTGTGAAGAAAGAGCCCAGGGAATGTCCGTAGCCTTTGTCTTAGGTTTTCCAGGCCCTGGAATCTTTTGCAAGGAAGTAGTCCCAAATAAGAAAGAGCTCTCCATGCAAAGATGTTTAACACTGATAATAGCAGGAAGTTCACAGCAGACTGTACAGCAGAAGGGACGCTGACCAGGAAGGACGGGTGATCGCGCAGGCACGAGTTTGCAGTGACACGGACTGTTACCAGACTGGAAATGCAGTGAGATCAGCTATTCTTAAAGTTAAGAATCTAGGAGGAAACACGCCAGGATGGCAGTGGCTCTCGGCTGCTGGGTGCTGGCTCTGCAGGTGATTTTCCTCCACCTTTGCTGCTACTTTGTACTTTGTGTCAAGTTCGCTCAGTGAGCACGTCCTCCTTTCGCAGTTAAATGAAAAGAGAGTCAGCAAAGATTTAGAAAAGCTGGTAAAGCTGAAGGGAACGGTCGTCGTTCGGCCTGGAGTCCTGCCGCCCAGAAAGGAGGGCGGGTGGGACGAGTGGCGGGTTGTGGCCACTCGTCAGGCGGGGCGTAACGCGCAGTTTAAGTTGCAGGTTCTTGTGCTGCCGAGCGCCCCCCGTGCACCGGGCCCCGCGTGGGTGAGCCGGGCTCGTGCAGCCGTGTCTCACCGCGGTCTGTCTCCCTCCGGGCAGGACTACACGAGTGGAGCCATGCTCACCGGTGAGCTCAAGAAGATCCTCGTAGAGGTTCTGCAGCCCTTGATCGCCGAACACCAGGCCAGGCGCAAGGAGGTCACGGACGAGATCGTGAAAGAGTTCATGACTCCCCGGAAGCTGTCCTACGACTTTCAGTAACATTCGTTTTATACACGCTTATAAAAGAGATGTAATTTACCCGTAATCCCAGCCCAATCGAATCACCGCTATCCGTAGGCTCTGTCCCACGGTAATTCCGGGCCTGGAGTCTGTAAGCCTGTGTGTGTATCCATACTGCTTCTTCCTGTGATGCCCCCCTTTCTGTCTCTTGCGGCAAAACCCTTGGGGATTGGGTGCCAGCTGACGTTTCGTGGTCGGACAGTCCAGCTGGAGTCTCTCCCACAGAGCAGCCCCCAGAGGTGAGACCTTTGGGGGTCTGCCCCCGACAGGGGGCAGCCTGTCGGGTCCACAGGACAGCTGCCATTGCAAACGTCCTGCGGGTTCCCAGCCTACTCTCCGAACCTGCTCCGTGAACGAATGTGGAGCGTGCATACGTATCTGCAGTCAGAACGTCACGATCGTAGAGTGAGACGTGCTTCGAAAAGTCTATGTGGGAAGTTTAACGGGCACAGATGTATTTCCCCCGTGCCCCCCAAAATGTAAAAGAATCGCCAGCTAAAGCTTTGCTGTCCGTTTGGCTAAGAGAGCTCCCAGCTTGAAGGCTGCTCTTCGTTGGCCCAGGTTGGCCAGTTTTTATTAAATTGAGTCTTCTGTGGGCAAGACTCTCCAGTTCACTTACCACACTCCAGACCGTGCATGCACCACACTCCAGCAATCATGCTTTTCCCTGAGCGTACTAATACTTCGTCCCCACCAAGTAACCCTGACACTCCACGCTGAAAGCCGGTGGCTGCTTCGCACTGACGGTGCCCGGGGCTGAGGGGTCTGTTGTCTTTGCAGATCCTTTTGTTTTGACACTTGACTGGCGTGGAAGTCTCTCTGCACAGAGCAGCGCCCTGGGGCAGGTGGATGTAGCTAGACCGCGTGCAGCCGCCCTCACGGCCCTCGGCGGCGCATCCACGGGAGGCCTGTTGAACCGTGCGCCCTGTATAGTTTTGGAAAAGCGGAAGACCTATCTCAGGGAAAGCCCTCGGTTGAGGTGTCTGTCCTTCCTGGAGGCACAGGGTCCACTCCCTCATGTCACTCGTTGGCGTGAATAAACTTGCTTCAGTCCTGCCTGTGTCTCGGTGCCGTGTCTGGGGTCTGAGGAGCAAGCAGGCCCGCGTCAGGCCCAGGGCCGTGCTGCGCCTGCCGCCAACAGCGGAGGCCTCTCCGAGGGTGGCCGTTGCGTCCCGGGGTCCCGCCAGGGGGTGACGTGGGGCGGAGACACAGACAGAAAATCCCCTTGGCGCCGGGATGCGGGCTCCCAGGAGTCGGCCGGAAGGTAGCCCGTCTGCGTAGTTTCTGGCCCTCGGTGGCCACCCCGGTGCTGGCTGTCCCACGGCGGAGGTGTCCCCGCGAGCAGCGGCGCTGGCCGTCACGCAGTGGAGATGCCCCAGCCGGTGGCTGTCCTCACCCCGCGGACAAGGGAGCGGCCGTGGGGTGGGCGGTGGCGGTGCCGGTGGAGCGGGGGCTGGGCGGTAAGCTGGGCCGGCCCTGCCGGAATGGAGCCTGGCGTCCTCATCAGCTGGGGAAACGGGGCCTAAGAGAGGGCGGTGGGGCTTGTCCGAGGCCACACTCCGAGTTGCGACTCGGCAGGCCCGTCCGGCCTCTCGTTTGCTGTCTCCACACGCGCGCAGAGGGGCCGTGTCACCGACGAGGGCGCCGAGGGTCCGGTGTGTGGTACAACCTCACCCGTCTCCCTCCCCGCCCCCCACCCGACCCGACTCCCGCCGGCCAGAGTCCCCGGCCCCATCTCGGCCGGCCGCGGCCAGTGGGGCGAGCCGCCACAGAGGAGGGCACGGCCGTGCGGCCCTCCGCAACCACACGACCTCTCGTTACCCCCTTGCACCCACGTCACAGGTGTGCCGTGAGGCTAAAACGAGGGGCCGCGTGTGACGTCGCCAAGGCGGCAGAGCACTGGGGGAGGAGTGTGGGGGGCGTAGACAGGACAGGCTGTGGCCCCTCACAGGCCAGCTCCTCCCCACCTAGGCTGTGGGGCCTCGGGCAGGCCTCCGGACCTCTGGGGACCCCCCACCCCCTCCCCCGTAAAACCAGAGCAGCCATACCTCACGTTCGGTTCTTGGGAGCAGTACCGTGGGTCGGAGGTCAGGTGACTCACCCAGCGGTCACTGCTGTTAAGGGCCACTGCCCCTCCGCACCCACATTTTGCTAAAAAATATATATATATATTTTAGGGAACACACGCTCCGGAGCACAGGTCAGAGCGAGAACGAGAAGGGGGCTCCCCGCCAGCAGACTGCAGCTCCCCCGGGGAGTTCTGCCCGTGGCCCTTCCCAGAGCCCTGGATTCTCCCGCGAGCACCCGGCGTGGGGGTCCCGGGGGGACCACCCCGCGCCTCCCTCTTGAAACTTCCAGTGCAGCCTGGACTTTGTCGAGGTGGCCACGGTTAGGGGTAAGACCCAGCTGGGCCTGCCTTCTCTTCCCCATTTCCGAAATTCGGGGCCGGGTCCGAAGGGCCATGTCACCTAGCGGTTGTAGAGAGCCTGAGGACCACCGCGGACCAGGCCCTCCTGCAAAGCTACTTCCCCGCCACAGGCGGGGCCGGCTGCTCGGGGACCGGGGGGAGCAGTGCCGACGACTGTCCTTACGAGGCCAAAGCAAATGGGCACTTCTAGTGGTCTTCCCGCCAAAAGCGGACACAGGGTCCGGGTTTTGACAGATCATCTTTCGTTCGGGGCACCGTTTCCCTAGATCCTGGCTGGAGCACCAGCCTCCACACCTTGAAGCTGGGTGAACTTCCAGGAACCTACCGCGGGATCATCCGCTCATTCCACACCCCCGCTGAGCACCTACTATGTGCTCGGCCCTGTGCTGAATGGAGTCCACACCAGACATGTGCCGCCCTCAGGCGGCTCACAGTCTCGGGTGGAATGGGGTGTCGGGGGTGGGGGGCGGATGAGAGATCAAACGAGGAGCCAGGGTCCTGTGGGGGCCTAAAAAGCAGCCCAGGTCGGGCAGGGAGAGCTTCCCGAAGGAGGTGGTGCTGGGGATGCCGAGTCAGCCGGGCAGAGGAGGGGCGTGTTCCTGGCAGAGAACGAAATGTAAGCAACTACTTGGCTCAGGGTGACAGGAGCGGGCTGGGAGGGGAAGGCCTGCCCGCCACCCGTGTGCCCCGGAAGCAGAACACGAGAGGTCTTTTGGGGGCAGACACACGCTCAAGGCCAGTGTCTGTGAGTGTCATCGAGGCAGGTGTTGGCTGGCTTCACCAGAGGGCTCCACCTGCCAGCCCCACCCCTGAGGGCAACTCACTACTGGAAGCCACATGGGGCCGACCAGAGGGCTTCAAAAGTGCAGGCGCGAGTCCCCCCACACCTCCCTCTCGGAGCTGTCTCCTCACCTGCTGCCAGGCTGCGTGGTGACCTGTGGCAGGTACCTGGCACCCAGGACACACCCACCCCTCCCTCCTCCAGGCCCCCACGGAAAGGTGGCTCACGGCCAGATGTCCCGGCAGCGGAGGGGCCAGAAAGGGGTAGGTTTGGGGTTGGGGGGTCGGTCAGGCCTCAGGCTGAAAGCTGAATGGCCCCCTGTGGCAGGGCTCGGTGCCCCAAAGTCGCAGGGAGTGGAGCCAGCCAGCGTGCTGGGCCTCAGTGTGCCCATCTGCATAGTGGGAACGACGGCCACACAAGGGTGGAGGCTTGGCCTCTGGGGAGGAGCCGGTCACCCGCCCCACGGACCGCGGAGCAGCACCACTGAGCACATTCAAACAAAAACGTTTTATTGTCAACGGCTCCCCGAGGAGTCTCGGGGATCTCCCAGCAGAGCAAGGGTGTGTGAGCGGGTCTGGCACCAAGCTGGTCATGGCCGTCCGGGCAGTGCCCTCTCTGCGCAGCCCGGCGCAGGGGAGCAAGCGGGCGGGTGCATAGGCGCTCACCAGAGGAGAGTTCAGCGGGGGCCTGGCGGGGACGGTGGCCAGCGGACACTGGGTGAGTGGACGGAGGTGCAGGGGTGCTCCGAAGACACGGGCGGCAGGGAGAGGCCCCGGGGAAGCTGGAACGACCAACTGACCAAACGTTCAAACCACCGCGCGTGACAGATGTCCTCCTCCAAGAGGCTCACTCCTCCCTGGCTCACGAGACCCTCAAGCCAGCCCCAGGCTGATGGCAGAGGGGCCCCTGAACCTCCTCGTGGTCCGTAGCTGGGTGAGCAAAGCCCCAGGCACGGCTGACTCCGGCCACCGGGTGGTGGCTCAACGGGGCCCAGACCCCCACACTCTCCGCCACCTCCAGCTACGAGATGTCTGCAAGCCGCCGGCGGGCCGGCCCTGGGGCGCGGGGACTAGCTAGGTGGACAGGCCACGGGTGAGCCCCAGCACGGCTTCGTACGTGACAAAGACCACCATGTTGACGGGGAAGGCACGACAACAGTTGAGCGTCAGCCCCTTGAAGAGGACCCGCGGCCCCTCCTCCCGAACGCTGCTCACCACGCAGTGCAGGAGGCCCCGGTAGCGCCGCTGGCCCTGGCCGTCCGCCTGCAGGCGCGACTTGATCACGTCCATGGGTGTGGCCACGGCCCAGGCCAGGACCCCGGCACAGCCCCCGGCCACCAGCACGCCCAGCACATCTGCAGGGAGAGACCCACCAGTGCCCCGGCCGCCAACCGGACGGGGACGCGGAGGAGGGCCAGCGGGCCCCCCCCCCGCGCAGGGGCCCCACCGTAACGCAGCCCGGGGCTCCCCCCACCACCGTAACCCGCGCGAAGCCACGCGGCGGGTCTGGCCCGACTCTTGAGTTGGAGGGCGCCGCGGCCCCCACCCTGGGAGGCACCGTGGCGCCCCGTTTGGCACAACCTCGTCCACGCCTCCTCTCCCGGCCTCAGTTGCCACCTCCCAGGCCCCGGCCCCCCCTCACCTGGCTGGCTGCGGCCCGTGGGGGTGAGCTGCTCGCAGAGGATGGTGTAGGACAGGAAGTAGGTGGCGAAGGAGTGGCCGTCCCGGAAGAGCAGGGCCGAGCTGCCCTTGTAGAGGCCCCGCAGCCCCTCCTCACGGGCCACCGTGGCCAGGCAGTGCAGAGGTCCTCGGTACTTGGGCCCAGGGCCCGAACTCGCGGGGGGCGCGGGACACGCGGGGGGCACGGCCGAGGGCCACGAGGCCGAGGGGCGCCGCTGCTGCGTCTGCGTCTGCAGGCGGACCTTGGCCACCTCGGTGGGCGAGGTCAGGAACACCTGGAGCAAAAGTGGCAGAGATAAGGGGGTGCCCGCCGCTCCGCCTCCGGACCTGGCCTCCGGTAGCCTCCTGTTGCCCACAGCAGCATCGGGGGCCCGGCCTCCAGAAGCCTCCGGCTGGCTCCCTCTCTCTCTGCCCCTCCCCTGCTGCACTCTGTCTCTCTCTCTCAAAAATAAACATTTAACATAAAATAAATAACATTTTTTAAAAGGCGGGGGGGCACGCCTGGGTGGCTCAATCGGTTAAGCGTTCGACCTCGGCTCAGGTCATGAGCTCGCAGTTCGTGGGTTCGAGCCCCACGTCGGGCTGTGTGCTGACAGCTCGGAGCCCGGAGCCTGCTACGGATCCTGTCTCTCCGTCTCTCTCTGCCCCTCCCCTGCTCGTGCTCTGTTCTCTCTCTCTCAAAAATAAGTAAACATCTAAGTAATCATAATAATAATTAAAACCAAAAAAAAAGTAGCCTCCGGCTGGCCCAGCAGTCACGGTGCAGCAGGGTTCAGAGTCAATGCTTGTGCCTGAGCAACACAACTCTGCTAGCACAGAGTGGGCTCAGCGCACAGTAGGTGTTCGGTAAATATGTGGGACAGTTTCGTGCAGGTATCACAGAATTAATATGTTAATGACCTTTATGTATCACGTAATTAACGTAGGTATTTAACGTAAGAATAATATAACACTAAATGTAGACATTTAATGACAATACCGTCCGCCATCCTCTGGACGCTCATACCTGTCAGACTCCATGTTGGGGGCTTTCCCTTCCTAACCTTACTTGCTCTTCACCATGCCTCTTACTGACGAAGAGACAGAAGCTCAGAGAGATCCCCTAGCTTGCCCAAGGTCACTCGCCTAACGAGGATCCACTGAGCCCTCAGCCACAGCCCCCAGCCTTCGCCCCGTCTCTGCCCTCACCGAGCCTCAGTTTCCCCATCTGCCGGGCTTGGTGGCCTCTCAGGCGGCCGGCTCAGGCTCTCCTGACCCCGCAGTCCCGAGGCCCCCTGTCCCCACCACCCCGTCCCCACCCCCCACCCCACCACTCACGCGGACCAAGCCGGAGGCAAATCCGGAGAGCGTGATGTCAGTCTTGGCGGGCTTGATGTCCGTGCTGCCATACCGAAATCGGCAGATGTGTGCCAGGCAATGGCGGTAGGTGCCGAAAGACACGGACGAGACCAGGGACACGGTGCACACGGGCAGCGAGAGGCCTCTGTAGAAGCCCCACACCTGGAGAGCAGGCAGACAGGACCAGGGGGCCCAAATCAGGCTGGGGGCCCGGCCAGGAAGAGGGCCGTCCAGAGGGGCCCTGGGCCAACGGGACTGGGTCTCACCCCTGCTCTGCCCTCCCTTGCCGTGGGAACCTCAGGCCAGTCTCTTACTGCCTAGGGCCTCGGTTTCCCCAGCTGTAAACTGGGGATCGTAATACCCCACTTTCGAGGTTATGTGAGGGACTGAAGAGACAGAGGGCTAGGCTGGACTAGGGCAGCTACTTGATGACGGTGACAATGGTGATGATGCGGGATGGCATGCTTCATTTGTTCACCCCCGGGCCAGCGTCGAGCCCCAAGTTCACGTGAGTCCCTCCTCTGGACCAGGCTCTGAGCTGGACGCTGGGGACACCTAATGACCACCCGGTGCCACTTTCAAGGGATGCCCAGCCTGGAGGGGACAGAAATGCAAACACTCCGGGGTCCCTCCCTGACCCTCAAAGGCCCCAGGTGCCACCTGTGGACCCTCTCCTGAAGGCAGGACCTCCTTCTGAGCACCTCCTGTGTGCTGGACGCCTGACTCTCGTCCTCAGAGAAACCCAGCAGGTTGGTACAATCATCCCCATTTGGAAGGTGACAGAGCTCAGAATGGGGTTCAGCATCCCCTGGCTGGTGGGGGTCTGAGGCCCTGACGTCCCCCTGCCCATTACCCTGGCCCCAGGCCTACCCGCTCTCGGCGATACGTGTCCCAGACGCAGTGCCAGATGCCCCTGTACTTGGGCTCTGTCTGGATCTTGACCTGAGAGAGAAGCAGGCTTCAGGAAGAGGTGGCTCCAGGCCTAGCACAAGGTCAGTAAGCCTGGGAGAGGGGAAGAGCCAACCCCTTGATCGTCAGAGCCGTGCTGAATGTGGGCAGAGCAGGGACCAGGAGCCCCCACGTGAGACAGGAGACCTAAGGCACAGGTGAGACGAGGGGCTGACGCGGTCCTGAGGGGCATGGGGAGGGCTGGTCTGATTAGCATGCCGGAAAGTTCTTCTGGCCACGGATGGAAGCAGGAGACTTGGAGGGTAGCCTAATCCCGGCCAAGGGCCTTTGGGTGGGTAGCGGGGGCCTGGCTGTCACCATACCTTCACCGTGTCCAGGGGGTAGCCCACAGCAACACCGCAGACTCCTGGAAGGAAACCAGACGAACCGGGTGAGGGGCAGGAGCAGGTGAGGGGGGGGGCGAACCCTGACCGGCTCCCGCTGAGAGCAGCCCCACGCTTCTCGTCCACGCCGTGTCTCATCAACGTTGATATCGGTGTTGACACAGAGAAGGAAACTGAGGCTCCGGAAGGTAAGGTCGCTTCTGCCAAGCTGCTAGCAACTTCTCCTTCCATGTCTTGGCCCAGGGGTGCCTCGTTCCGAAAGCCCGAGACGCTCCACGGCCTCGCCCCCGGCGTCACGTTTTGGAAGAGGCTTTGCTCTGACACTGGCTGGGCCCCGTCTCCCAGCCAGGCAGCTCTTGCCCTCAGGCCTGTGAGGGGTTTGTCTGCCTTTGGCTGCAGGGTGTGTGTGTGGAGAGGCAAGGACCCAGCAAAGGCCGGCAGGTGGGAAAGCCCACGTCACCCAGGGCTCTGTGAAGGACCGCCTGGAACCACAAGTCTGCATGGAGCAGAGTGGGACGTGAGGCTTCCTAGACCAGGGTGCTCTCTCCGCAAAGGGCCAGTGCCACTATCCTGTTCCTTTCTCCCTTCCTGACAGCAGACCTCAATGTCTAAGCCCCCAGAACCACCATGGAGAAGCCAGAGAGCCACAGACCCCTGGGGTTACACACCCTGGGGGCCAGGGGTGACCTGGTGGTGAGAGCATCTGAGGACAATAAGGCACCTGGGGGCTGTGCCCTATTTACTAGGCATCCCAGGACTCAATAAATGTGCGTGAATGAAAGAACAAAGTGAATGAATGAATGAATGAATGAGTGAGTGAATGAACAAAGCAAGTGAAGCAAAGGACTGACTGAATGACTTGATTAGAATTACCCTCCTTGACCCTCACACAACTAGACCTCACCAAACTCCTACTCATCCATCAAAGCCCTGCCACAGCATGACCTCCCGCCTGGGGCCCTCCCTGACCCCTGTATCTGGCCTGCCTTCGCGCCGGAAACCATGTTGATCAGAGCCCCTGTCACGTGGTTTTGCTGACGCTTCACACACATCATGTCTGTCCTCCACAAGGCCCTCGTCTGACCTGGCCTGGAGGGAAAACACAGGACTCGGGAGCCCTTCCTGGCTTTGTGGTCTTGGGCAAGTCAAGCCCCTTCTCTGAGCCTCCTCCTTAGAGGGCCAACATCCAGGGAAGCAGCCGGCCTCAGGCCCGGTGCATGGTAGGACCTCAGAAAGGTGGCTGGTGAGGTCAGGGCTCCAGTCTTTCCTGGATCGGCACTGTTGTCCCCTCCTGATGGGAGGACAGCCCACACCGTTCCCAGCAGCATCGACCAGCACCCACGGCTGTTTCCCGAGACGAGCAAGGCCAAGGGTGCCTCACCCAAAATAGCCTCACAGCTTGCCGGACCAGCGGCCGGCGGGGAAAGCCCCTTCCCGGCCTGTCTCCTAACAAGCCAGTTATCTCTCAGGATTAGTCTTTCGCAATCAGCCCTTTCCCCAGAAAGGAAACCAGTTTGGGAACCCAGCAAGGCCGGGACAACATGCATCCCGCCAGCGGGTGGGGCCAGGGCTGGGCGGGGCCTCTCCCCCTCCACGCCACCCCCCGTTTCCAGACCCAGGCCAGTTTGTCCTCAAACTCCTCCCCGACCTCCGGGCCCTGCCCACAGCTCAGCCATCCCTCCCCACACTGATGTCCCCCTGGCACAGGGAGAGACCACCTCCTGCCCCCCCACCCCCACCGGGTGTCCCCACCCCCAGACCTGCCGGTCTGCCTCCCAGGCTGAGACAGCCAGGCCAGAACAGACTCCTGTCCCCACACCTCCCCCCGGCACCTGCGGCCCACGCCGGGCCCTGACCCCTTCCGGGGGCCCCTCAAGCCCCGCTGCTGTGGGAAGCCTGCTCTCAGGCCACAGGACGTCGCAGCCCCTCCTGGTACCCCTGTCCCTGCCCGTTACCTCCGATGGCTCCAGCGACAAAATCCATGGACAGTGTGGTGGTGTGGGGGGGAGGTCCCGGGGTCTGTCTGCCTGCCAGCGGTCCGCACCACCACTGGGGTGGCCCCAAGAGCAACTGGGCCGGCTCCTCGCGGACCTTAAATACCTGCGGCCGGGGGAGGGACAGGAAGCAAGAGCCCGCCGGCCAGTGGCCCCGAAGGCAGAGGCCATGCGGGTCGATGCCCGTGCCCGGGCGCCGGGCAGCTGGCCTCTCTCCCGCCCCACCCCCCCGAAGGACCCTTGTCCCAGTGCCCTCAGGACCCAGGTGTCAGGGAATCATGGGAGAGGCCACAGGAGGTGGCAGGCTCACTTCCACGCTGCCTGCAGGGCTGGGCCCCAGGCCATGTCCAGTCGCCCCCAAGGAGGCCCAGGGATGGGGCCATGCTGACCCTGTCCCTTCATGGTGTCCTCGGGCCTCCCCAGCTCCCCTGGAATGGCTCCTGCCCAGGAGCCTTCCAAGGTCCGTCCTCACTCGTCCAACAAACACCACCGGAGCTGAGGCTGAGCTGAGGCTGATAAGACCCGGTCCCCGTCCTCACGCAGCTCCGGCTGGCAGGAGGGGGTGGGGGCGGGCACAGGCGGGCTGCAGGGCTGTCCCCGCTCCGGGAGCAAAGGCGGGTCACAGCCCAGCGTCTGCCCCACGCGTTTCTCACTGCCCTGGTCCCTCACTGTCCCTGTGCACCCACATCTGTCTCCCGCTCCCCCGGGCCCGGCCAGGTCTGCCTCCACGCGGTCCCCAGCGCCCAGCACCGACTGAGTGGGGACCAAGCCCTGACGGACCCACTGCTAGGGACCGGGGTGCTGCCCGGCCTCTAACTAAGCCAGAAGGGGAAGAACTTTCCTGAAGGGGAAGCCACTCCAACAAGAGGTTGTTTGCAACCATTATAAAAACAGTGATCCCCCCCCCAGCAGTGTACCCCTCTTTACGGTTTCCCAAGCACTCCTCCTCCGCCAGCTCACATGATCCTCATCACAGCCCCGGGAGGGAAGCAGGGCCGATGGTCCCCATTGTACAGATGGAGCCATCGAGGCCCAGAAGGGAGATCCGTCCAAGGCCAAGCAAGTGGCAGGGCTGGATGTGATGGAACACTCTGGAAATACCAGTGCCTCTCGGATGCCGAGGGCCAGGCCCTGAGGCCCATGAGCTCTGCCCCCGTGGCTGTCACCCCACGGGCCCTCCCAGGGGCTCAGCATGTGCTCCCACACGAGCCACAGGGCAGCGCTTCGAGGTGGCTACGCACTTGCCCAGGGTCACACAAAGCGAGTGTCCCGCTGACCAGAAAGCTGGCAGGACCCGGGTAGAGGGGCAGGTGGTGATGTCACAGGGTTTGGACAGACTGGTCCAGGTGGCCCTCAGGTCAGGGACTGTGTGTCTACCTGTCTTCTTGTCTTCTGATGGGCAGATGCAGACCAGACTTGAACAGGCTGGGTGCGACGGGGGCCACATCCCCGCCTGCCCAGCTATTGCAGGGTGAAGGGGGGACGGGTTGGTGGTGGCAGCTACCAAGGCAGAGGGCAAAGGGCAGAATGCAGCCCGTCCCAGGTCAATCCTGCCACCCATCCTGGCCTTTAGAGAGACACAGCTCAGAGTCTGCTTAGCGGCCAGGCTGTTTGCATTCAAGTCCCAGTTCCAAGGCCACAGCAATAACCACACAGACAAAAGTCCCCGCCCCGTGGTTCTTACATTCTGGGGAGCGGGGAACAGACAACCCACAGGTGAGGGAACTGCCAAACGGCGGGGAGTGCCAAGGACAGGGGCAGAGTAGGGAGGGGACAAGGTGTGTGTACGTGGGGGTGGGCAGCATTGGGAAGGGCCGCCCAAGACGGTGACATACAAGACAAAGGTGTTTTCTCAGTCGCTGCAGCCAAGTTTCACCTGCCCTTTGTCTCCCGAGCAAACATGCCCAAACTTTACCCTCTGCACAGCAGAAACAGAAAACATGCCACCTCACTGTTTAGGCTGCTTTGGGACAGGTCTAAAGGTTCCCCACCCAGCTGCGAGCTTCTGGCAGGCAGGGCTGTGCCAGATTTGTCTCTGAGCCCACAGCACCCAGCAGAGGACAGGCACCCTGGGGAGGCCGGGTGAGTAAATGCATGAGGAAACAAGTCAGTGGATGGATGGGTGGGTGGGT